GAATCCGGCTTTATTTCGGATCAGCTCTGTTCTGTTTCTCTTCCCATCAATCGATGATCGATCAATGTGTCCTAATTCATAGAATCTTCTGATAATCCTGGCAAAAGTTACTTTTGCAGGTATTTCCGGGAAGAGCAACGGGACCCCCACCACCGCTCTACCCGAAGCCAGGCCAGAGGCGGATGGCCTCGCATATAAATCCCATCCACCAAGGTGTCTCTGAGAGAGAGCCTGCGGAACTTTTTTTTTTTAATCAAGGTTTCCGGCCAAAGTTTTCTCCATTTTATTCAAGACTAAGATGTTCAATGAAGTTTCTCACTCAAATTATTAAAAAAATAAATAAATTAATGAAGGTTTCCGGTTTCCACATTAAATAACAACTATTATAGAGTATCGATCCGGAACCGGATTTATTTTGGCCATTGGTTCCGGGTCAACAGTTTGATTATCTGATTTGAATGGATAGTCTTTTCTAATTTAAAAAATAAAAATAATAAAAATCATTGAACCGATCAAATGAATTAACAGACCAAATCAATGTTTTTTGATCAAGAACGAGTTAAGGGTAAAATAAAACAGATTGGCTAGACAGTTCATGGACCGAACAGTCCTACTGTCCGAATCAATTACAGTTCAAAAACATTGTTATAGGGTCTAGTCTTACTTTAATTAGCAAATAAAAAATATTAATTTTTTACTTGAAAAAAATAAAATATTATTCTTTTTATAATTTTGATAAATTTATTTCCCCATGGCCATGGTCATTCATCTACTCATCTTTAAAATGGTTAAAATTTACAAGCATCAATCACATGGTGCCCATTTTCCTTGTTCTTTCTCGATGATTCTCCATCGGGGGAATCTTGCGCCAGATACTACATACGAGTTTGTCGATTTTATTTATTAATTATATATAAAATTAGGGTAACTCAGCTTTGTGCAGACAAGAGACAACTAAAACATTGGGAATGGGCTTGAGAACAAGATGGATGGCCCAAGTCCATTAGTACAGAGCATTTGAAGCCCAAGTACATTATCTGTTCCATTTACAATTGGTGATTGGTCTTCGGACACCGGAGCGCCAATTCCCCACGCTTTCCATCCATCAAAATCCCAGACCACCCCTTTCCTTTTCCCTTCCTTCTATTTTCGGTCGCGGCAACGCCTTATTTTCTTCCTACCCTCACCAAACTCTCCCGGCGAATTTCAGCCGGAAGATTTCATTTCCGGCGATCGATCCGACATGGTTTCCCCAGAAAACCCTAATTGGCTCTATGATTACGGCTTGATGGACGATATTTCTGTTCCAGGCGGGGATTTTACGGCGTCGACGGCTGGTTTTCACTGGAATTCGCAGCCTCTGAATGGTTCAACTAGCGTTAGGTGCGTTGAATTTTAATGTTTTGTTTTTTGCTTCGTCCGATCGAGGTCCATGATTCTCTTAATCGTCTTGTACGTCTAGGGTTTTCTGTGCTACGATAATTGTATAACCTGACCCCTTACTGGAATTCCAAAATGCATTTGTTATTATTTTCTTTTAAGAATTTATGTATACAATTACACGAAATAATAGAAACAATTACAGAACCGGGGTGGTACTCCATGGAACTTTTTTGCAATTTATTTATTTCTATTTTTGATAATGGCTTATGTTTAGAAGGGATTTCTCGTAATTAGAAATATTTGGATTTTCGTTAATGTCTGCATCGGGATGTTTGAGTCTTTGAAACTGGAGGGGTGAAGCAGAAATTGAAAGAGAATAATTTTATTGGCTTCCCCATTCTTTGTTTTATGCTTTTCTTTCATTTGGGTAGCTAGGTGACGGTCTTTATTCATTCATGGGATGGAATAGTTCGTAGTTCCGGGTAGTGCTCTTTTTATTTTGTTTATGTTTTTGGTAGTTATTTAAGTAGCGTGTGCTTTTACGTAGTTGTAGCACTAATTCCTTTCCTTTTTATTCAGACAAGGGAGTAAACAAATAAAGATTAGTAAAAAGAAGGATACAGAAAGATAAACCAACTGAGAAAGGAAGATTAACAAGGTCAACAATGTTTGCAGGCAAAAAGAAAAAGAATAAAAAAAGGAAGCTGCGTTATTAGAAAATCCTTCTTATTCAAGCTTCCCCTAAAACTCCCGACTTTCCTAGGTTATCTCTTAAATTGATCGTGAAATACTAATAGTGGAGTAAACTATTCTGATTGGCTTTAAGAAAATAGAAGATTCTCTCGCATATTTATATAAACTTCAACTGAGAACCTCAGATCCAGAGTTAAGATATGGGAACTTATGCATAATGAATGCGTTACTGAGAACCCATGGGTGGCCCCAATAGGGAACAAAATAAAGTAACATATATTAAGATATCAAACTCATGTGAGTAAAAGACCACTGTTGCACTGGTAAGAAAGAGTGGCCTGATTTTAGTTGAAGGTCCTGAAGAAGGTAGAGGGAGGTTAAAGGAGTGTGATGAAGTATTGCAGAAATATCTTTAGATTTAGCAAAATAATAACAACCACTGACAAAGTTGAAGGGAAAAATAGGTTTCTGTAGCCCAAATAGTTGACTAGGTTTTTGTTGAGTTGAGTATCAAATACAAGCATGGAACCTTTACCTCATTGGTTCCAGGGAGGTGGCACAGATGGAGTACCTTTATTTTTTATTGCATTCCTTTTCTTTCTAACTGGTTAACTGAAAGGATAGCATCATCATCCCTATTCCAAAGTGTCTTCTCAAATTATCATAGGGGGACCTATAATCCATTTGGGATTGAACATGTAAAACATCTGAAGGATATATTATGCATTGCCTTATAAACATAAGGAAGAAAATCCAACTCCACATGTCAACTTGTCAACCATAAATGCAAAAAGTTGTGGTTCCACACTCTTCATAATTTCACAGCAATGCACAATCATGGGTATAAAAAAGCTTAGAAGTTCTTCAGTTTGGGATCTATTAGAAGGTCTCCTTCTTTGAAGCACATCTGTTATTGTATGGAAAATTGTTATCAGAACAAGAGTCATTATTTTAAAGAAAGAAGATTTGCCTGGATTTTGAGAAATGAAATTAGAGTGGTATTTTGTAAGCATTACTCTTGACTGATAATAATGTTGATAATAAGACTGCCAAACTTTAGGCTCCAAAGACTAGACTTCTTGTTGTTTGACCTATTGCTGCAATCCTTTAACTAATTGTTGATGGGTTGTTTGCACCTCCACAGGTGCATGTATAGTTTGACTTATGTATGTGGCTGGACCTCAGACTAGTCCTGGAAAGAAATATGGTTATACTTCACTTTTTTTTCCTAGACAAACTCCCAATCTAACTAGGAAAACTACCAATAACTCAAATAATCAGAAAATGGTTACCAAACATTAAGATTTTGGTTTTTTGAAAAGTGGTGATGATTTCGTTGAAAGCTTAAAGGAGAACATGCTGATGAGGGAGAGGTTCCCTTAATAGCTACAATGTAAACAGAAAGACTACAAGAACAGGAAATGTTAATTCATAACGTCATTGACCCACAAAATTCTCTACCAATGATCGTTGAGATGCCTAATTTTTCTTTGATAAATAAAAGAAAATTTTCATTAAATGGAAAAGAAAATTACAACTTGAATAGGTTCTAAGGCAACACCTAGAAGCATCTCCAAACAACATCAATAAAGAAACTTAACAGATCCAAAATCAACAACCATAATGCTACAATTTGAGTCCAGTGCCTCCCAACGTCTGTCCCCAAGCTCTTCTTTCTTGACTTGAGTCGATTCAGACAACACCAGGACCTAGAAATGCCACCAAACAAAACAGGTGATAGCAATCTCAATTCCAGACTCCTACATCCACCTTCCCTTCTGGCACCCCCTTCACTCTTCCCTCCTTCCTCCCACATCTCACCCCCTCTCCTAAAACTTTTTTTTTGTTTCGTTCTTCTCTCCTACTTCTTTCGAAAAGCTCAATAACCCTTATAACAACTCTTTCCCCTCCCAGACAGAATAAACTAAGAGAGTTACCCACCTCCACCTGTCTCTCCACAAGTTTTTCAATATCCACCTTTCCTTTTCTAGAACCCTCCTATTTCTTTAGTGTTTTCGGTTGTGATTTAGGGCTTAACATGATAAAGATGGGATGATATGAAAGATAACATGACTATCCTTAGTATGGACATACTGATAAAAAAATCCTTAGTATAAACATGAAGAGAAGAATTCCTTGATAAAATGTAGCCACTAGAACTTTTACCTTAGGAAGGAAATTCTCCTTTTGAAATGGTGTGCTTTCATTTAGTTGGATCATGGTATTTAAAAAGGTTTCATAAGCTTCCGGTAAGTTTTCTATGTGGCTATTTTCATCAACTATATGGAACGCTATTCAGTGAAAACCTTGTTTTTTTTTTATATTATTTTTAACGACTTCTTGATTTGAAGCCTTTGGATACGGAAAGTTTAAATATGCTTGTAGGTTTTCATTTGTGAGGGATGAAAAATTGAGGTAATGACTTGTTGAGAGTTGTTCAACTTTTTGTGGTTTGATCTCTTTTAAAATTTACATGACAAGCTGATGCTGAAAGGTAAGCTGCCATGCCTCTTGTTATTTGAATGCATATACTGGGTAAAACCAGTTTGGCTGGCTTTAGGGGTGATTGTGGGCTGCACTTGGTCTGATACCCAGTGTACCATCAAATCCCAGGCCAAGCCAGGCCTGAATTCTTGGTCCATGTCCCATGCTAGGTGAACCTGGGCTGGGCGTTTCCGGAAGCAACCACCTCTAGCTGGGCTGCTCTGGTTTAAAAACCAGTTAAAATAGAACTAAAAATAGAAGTAAAAATAGAAATCACATCTCTAATTAATGGTAAAATTGTGTTTCTTAGATAGACAAAAGTACCCTTTTATTTTTTTCATTATCATATACAAGGGGACTCTGGATCTGTTACAAACAAGGCATGTACAGCAGTCTACGTAACTTAAGTATGATGCATACTCTGAATCTGTACCGTTTCCAGATGCATACTCACGATTGGTATTATAGTCCATTCTACATGTCTTGTTTGTAGCAGATCCAGAGCCAAACAGTTTTGTGGTTTTTTTTCATCTTGCCAATTGGGATGCAACACATGGCATAACAGCAGAGGGTGTTATTGGTATATAGTCCATTCTACACGTCTTGTTTGAAGCAGATCCAGAGCCAAACAGTTTTGTGGTTTTTTTTCATCTTGCCAATTGGGATGCAACACATGGCATCACAACAGAGGGTGTTTGGAGATCACTATCCATATTGAGAACCTTCACAACAAATTTTTACCTTTATGGGTCTATTTACCTTATTAGGAAAAAGTATTATTTTGCTCCAGGGCCATGTCTGGGATATGGATTTCTTTTCCTGTAGCTTTCTTTTTCTTTTTCTTTTTTATTTTCAAGAAACAATGTCATTGTTCTGTTTTGAGGTAACAAGAAATATGGTAAGCATTTATTGGAAAGCATTTTCACTTCTTTTGAATAAAATGAAGAAAACTAAAGTTGTTTAGGTTTGTGTTAGTTTCATATATTTCTTTTATTTGGTTCTGTTAAATAATTTATTCCCTATGGTGGCTTGAACTCATAAAGCATACAGGAATATTGCTTCCTCTTTTCCTTCTTAACAATACAAACACATACATATAATTCTTTTTTGTTCTACTTTCTCCTTATTTTTCTTTTGACAAGAGTCTATTTGTTTCACTATTTCCAGTTTGGAAGCTGATGGTTCCTTTGGGAATTCAGATGGCCTCAAGGAAATGGGCTCCAAGAAGCGGTAAGTAATTTTTTGACTTTTTTTTTTTTTTTTTTCATTTGGCAATCAGCAAAGCAAAGTACATTATTCTGTTGAAATTACTTTGATGCATTTTTTCATGGTTGTGGTTTGGTAAGGTTTCACTTGCTTTTTGGCTTTATCTGCAAGCTCTCTGTGTGTCTGTGTTTGTCTTATGATCCCAAATTTTTTTGAAATGCCTATTGCAGGGTAAGGACTGCATCATGCAGTGCAGTTGGCTCTAAAGCATGTAGGGAGAAAATGCGGAGGGACAGGTTGAATGACAAGTATGCTATTCCTCTCCCCCTCCCTCTTGTGTCTATGTTTTGCTCTCCTCTGGCTGGGAATTACATTATTTAGTTATTGTTGTGACACTCATTTTACATGTGGTAGCTGAGTTGCTTGTAGAAATTGTTTTATGTACTATGCTATGCTACCTCACTGCCTCTTTGTTCTCCAAGTTTCAGTCATTAGACCTGCAATGCACTAAAAGAATTCCCTTTCTCATCCCCTGGATAAAGGGAGAAAAGGAGAACATTCTATTTGGTCAATCTCATCTGTATTACACTGACAGCTTTGATTGGTCAAATATGCCCCTGGTTTTAATATGATATCTCTCTCATATTTACATTGGTGTTAATGCAAGGTTCGTGGAATTGGGTTCCATCCTGGATCCTGGAAGGCCACCCAAAATGGACAAGGCTGCCATATTGAGTGATGCTGTTCGCATGGTCACTCAGTTACGAAGTGAAGCCCAGAAGCTGAAGGAGTCAAATGAGAGCCTACAGGAGAAGATCAAAGAGTTGAAGGTTAGCCTGGGTTCTATTTTCTGTTTCCTTGCCTATTTCCATGACTGAAGTTTAGTTTTTAGAGGAAGTTCCCATTAGATGTTGCTCCACATTCTCTATGGAAGTTTAGCACCATTGCTTTTCCAATTGTAGTTCTGTCTGCGGGTTCTTAGACCACATTTTGTTGTGCTGATTTTATATTTGCTGGCTTGTCCAAGATACTGGGTGAAATATCCCAAGTTCCTGCAGTTGCTTACATTGAATTTCTCTTGGCAGGCTGAGAAGAATGAACTTCGGGATGAGAAACAAAGGTTAAAAGTAGAGAAGGAGAAGCTAGAACAGCAGATCAAAACTTTGAGCGCACAGCCAACAAGCTTCCTTCCTCACCCTTCTACCATCCCAGCTGCATTCCCTGCTCAAGGCCAAGCTGCTGGCAACAAGCTGATGCCATTCATTGGGTACCCTGGAGTTGCCATGTGGCAATTCATGCCACCTGCTGCAGTTGATACCTCACAAGATCATGTTCTCCGGCCCCCTGTTGCTTAAGCTGGAAGATCTTGGTGACAGATCATCCTTATGTGTCCTGAAGAAATGTTAAGTTTTTTTTGTTGTTTTTTTTTTTTGAAATTTTCTTTGTTGACTTAGTTTTAGTTGGAAATCAGAAATAACCAGATTAGATGGGTTTAAAACGTTGGGAATTTTGTTAACTTGTTATTGTTGCTCATTTGTAAATGTCAATAATCGGATCTAGTAATTTATTTTGGATTCTTGTCTGTGCTTTTGGTACATCAGTGTTGTTCATTAGATATTTAACCTGCATATGCTATTGTTGCTCATGTCAGAATCATTTTGTTTCCTTGGGTTAATTTCATTTTCACGTGTGGTGTTGTCTGATTGCCAAGAGGGAGATCAAACTGCTCAGATCGAAGCTTGTTTTCTAGATAGGCCACCTGTAAAATTATTAGTTAACACATCATTCAAAAATTTGGTAGCACCGTCTTATGGACAAGTCCTACAGACATTGTTGTGGAGCATCATATAGTAGGATAGGATGAGTGAATACTTGTCTATAATGGTCCCGATTTTCACTTGGCCATTGGTCATGTTAGATCATTGCCTCGTTGGGGGCTCATTTGTGGGGTGTTTCTCTGATTCTCTCCGGATATCAAGTCGCACATTGGGAACATTTCCTGTACTTGTATATGCTATGATTCATGGAGAGATGTTCTTGATATGCAGCTATGGTATCCTGTGGGTAGGAGATCCGGACTGTCATGTAGGTGATTTTAAATATACACATCCATTATGGTAGTGTTCCCACAACCACAAATTGACAAATACAAAGAGAACTCCTGGAGTGATGAGATTATGATAATTGCTAACGATAGTTAACTTTATTGAGAAAACAGGAACAAGGACATAAAAACAAGAGTAGAATCCAGAGATAGAGGGCAGAGGAGGGGGGGTGGGGGGCAACTTTATTCAAATCCCCATACAATGGATTTATACTCCATACAAAATCCACAATTATTCTAGCCAATAATTCTGCAAGGACGTTTATGCCTTTGAAAACGGAGAGAACTAGGTGTTCTGTCCGGCTGCGAAGGTCAATCCTCAACATACGAACCAACGTCCTCTTAGTTTTATTCACATCATTCCTTTAAAGGTGTTTGGCGCTCTGGAATCCAAGAGAACGAGTTGTTCTGCCTGTCTCCCGAGGTCCAACTCTCCCAAATCATATTTTCATATCTCATCTAAATCACCTTTGAGAACTCTTTACCGTAGCATCATAGCTCTCCCCTTCTTGGCCCAAACTTGCGTGCGACCCAACAACAACTGTACATGAATCAAGTACCAAACCCTTACTGCTAATCAACTTTCCACTTCTAGGTATATACTCGGCCTACGGGAATAATACTCGCCTATTAACACAACTAAGTGTTGAATCCACCATGTCTTACTCAACAGGGGAGTCTGAATCCCATGTACTTCCCGCTTGTGTAGTCCTTCCATACGTTAATTGCTCCAAAGGTGGTAACCAGAACAGTACTTATAGCCATAACTGTACTGACTGAGAATACAATGAGGGAGGCCCTACCATATTTCACTATGGCCCTCTGTACTACCAGTAACCCAAGAAGTGATGCCACAAAAGTACCAATAGAAAATATGATGATTTTATTTATGTGATTCACGCCCGCCAGTAAGTATTGAACTGCAGACATTGAAGAAGAGAATAAAACCATGAAGGAACAAGTGGCAGCTGTTACCTGCACACAACAAAGCCATGACAAAGATGAAATGATGGTTACTTATATGAAGCATCAACTTTTGGAGTTTGTGAATGCTTTGAGATGCTGAAGGAAAAGTTTTTGCAAAATTGTGGAGTTCTGGCAATTATTGCAACGGTGTTTGAAAAGGAGAAGCACTGTAGTTAAGTCATTAATCAAACTAATGAAACCTTGAATCTCCCACAAAATGAAGTAATATTGCAGTGGTTAAAGTGGTGATATGATGCAAAGAAGGGAAAGGGTGAAGGAGATGCATTGGAGATGGGCTTGAGTATAGAAGTGAAAATGACGCGACTTCCTCTTTTGAGATGCTCGAAGTGGTATGAAATGGGTTAGAAACAGAGAACAAGGTTTCAGGTTTGAAAACAAAAAACACATACACAACCATAAGCATGTTTTTGGTGTTTTTGTTTTGAGAAAAAAAGTTGTTTTGATTTGCTTTTTTGTAAGTGGCAAGTGGCAACAAGAAAAACAATTCACTTTGTAAAACACCCTCTTAATTTATGAGGAGGCTTAAAAAGTCTTCGTTTAACACCTTAAAAAGTCTTCGTTTTCAAGGCCTAAGGGTAGGGGTGGCAACGAGTCAAGCTTTTCACGAGCTGCTCGAGCTCGGCCCGTTAAAAGCTCAGCTCGGCTCGGTTTCAACCGAGCTCGAGCTCGAGCCCAATTTATAGGCTCGATTAATAAATGAGCCAGGCTCGAGCCTAATAGAGTTCGACTAGTGAGGCTCGTGAGCCGATATATATATATATATATATATATAATAAAATTATAGAAAATAATACATATAATAAAAATATTACAATTCTTTATTATAATTCTTAATTTTTTAAATATCAAATAAAAATATTTTTTATATATAATTTTTTATTTTATAAAATATTTTTCCTCAAATCGAGCTCGAGCTTATGAGTTTTTCACTTGAGTCGAGCTCGAGCTCAATATTCTAGCTCAAACTAAACTCGAGCTCGAGCTCGAGCCTCGTACTATTCGGCTCGGCTCAGCTCAAATCCACCCCTACCTAAGGGCTTAAGTCCCACCTTGTATATTATAAGGTGGGAAGGAATTGGGTCCCTGTTCGCTTTTCGGTAAGTTATTTATCCAGGTGAATGCAATTACCAAGTACGTTCTTTTTTTTTGGGAAACACTTACCTACCCAGATAAGTGTATTTACTTATGTTCTTTTATTTCCTAAGTAAAAAAAGGCAATGACCATTTTAGCCATAAAAATCTATTATTAAAAATGACATTTTTATCCCATTCAAGTATTGATAACTTTCCCCTCTCAGGTGAGGAAATTATTTACCCACCTAGGAGAATAAACTTTTCCTGATCCCCACATTAATATGAAAAAAAACATGAGATTCTTGATCAATGAGAAACAAAATCTCATTCACCAACATTCACCTTCTCATTCACCAAAAAAAAAAAAAAATCACCTTCTCAAAATCCAAAAAAGAATGCCCCCTGGTGTAGCCAGCCTAAGGAGAGCAATAATGGTGGAAGCCCCAAATAGTCAACCATAGGCTTTCTATTTGTTGATTGATTTTAATGGTTGTGTAGGGCAGTCATGCCTTTGTTACCCAAAATAGGGCTGGCTACCACATGAATCTCTATACCTAATTGTTTTATTTCTATTTGGGTGATAAACAACAATTACATGTTTCTTAGATGCGCAAGCTTGATTTTGAATACCGCCATCGGAAAATATCTTTGATTATCAATCCATTACTCAATTAGTTTTAGCCTAAGAGAAGCCTAGCAAAAGAATAATCTTCTAAGAATACTAGAAATATGCGAGAAGAAATAGCTTTCTCTAAACCGCCCTTTATATTTGCTTAGCAAATTAACAAATCATAAATTCTGACACAACATGACAACAATATTTATTTTAGCCTTTACAAACAAAGAAAAACACCTACACACATATATGTATGACAACAAAATACAGGAAAGAATATGGAATTTACCTCTGGCAATATACCGACTTGAAGAAGAAGTGGGCTTATTAGCATTCCACCTCCAATACCGAAGACACCACCCAGTCCTCCTGCTAGGAGTGCCATTATTGGAAAAAGAAGCTTGGATGAAGGCTGCCTTGTAATTGGGACTCCTATCTTTTTCAAGGAAAAAAATAAATAAAAACTTGGAGTTTTAACCAAATTTAACCTCAGAATGACAAAGCAAAATGGGTGTTTTGATAGAGCTCAATATACAATTAATTGTATACCTGCTTATGGGAAGCTTGACCTTGTTCTCTTGTGTGGTATAGTATCCATGCGGTAAAAATTATGGCAAGAGGAACCTGCGATGCAGAGATGGTCCAATATGCGACTCCACATGGCTCAATTTGTATTATGCTCTGTAACAATTTTGAATAGTTGCAAAGTTAGTAAGTGCTATACTATACTAGATACATTATACATGAGGATGACTAAACTTTATAGAGAACAGATATTCTCATTCTAGAATTAGGGGTGCGTAAAAAAGGACGTGGATTGAAGTAGGGAAAACGTACATGATAACTCAAAGTTTAACAGAAGACATGAATCATGATCTTTCAGAGTTTACCCCAGAAATTGCACTCATGCGGGCAACCCCAAATAAATGAAGCTTTGCTTCAGGCTTTTTTGGTTGCACAAGATGATGACAGTAAGCCAGTCAATGGAGTACAGAACTCAATCTAATTATTTTGGGTTTGGATTATCCGTTAATCCAGTGATTAAATTTTATGTAATATATAATCATCATCATCTAAGCCTTATAGTTTTATCATCATCTAAGCCTTACCCAAACTATAATGAATATGCCATATTATACTTGTATTAATTAATTATTTATTTAGAAGTCAAAGAGTGATTAATTTATTTTAATCCAACCTGATTACAGCCTTACTGACATGCTGAGCTTCCATGCACCTGGTTTCGCCATCAGTGACGTATCCCATTAGTTTGAGACTTACCCTAGTAATATTGCTTGACTTTCTAATAGAAAGGGTAAAAGAACTCCATTTCTAATGTGCAGAGTGCTTTTAGGTGAAACTTGCCACATGGAATGAACATTCTAACTCCCCCCATTTTGATCCCTGCCAAACTTTCCACTTAGCATTTCCCTAACTTGAAGATCCTAACTTCCTATTCATCCACGAGACACCCATAAGTCACAATTACAGCAGGACAATACAATAGTATCATTTTCAGTTGGATGGACAATACAATGGTATCACATGGAGGGGGGAAATTTCCTTTACATCAATCATGTCTTTGTACCATGTAGCACTTTGATTTATATGCATTTAATTGATGGATAGAGAGTTGAAGAATGATCCAGCCTCCTAAAAAAGTCCAGATGACAACATATAACCCTTTAATTAATATTCTGCACATATCTGCACTGAAAGATGGGTCGTGAATGGTGAATTTAGGGTGGGGTAGGGAATTTTTTGTCGGTAAAATAGAGAGTGGGCCCTCCAGAAGACAGTGGCATTGAACCAGTGGACTGGGGTTGCATGGAATGGTGGGAACTTATTCCGATATAGGGTGGCCTATGGTGGTGCTATGCTATGGTTACGAGGACAAAAAACGTTCCTTTCATGGCAGCGCAGCTGCCCCACGGTGATTCAAAACTTATCCCC